TGAGGAGGGTTGGGAGGAGGTTTGAGAAGGAGTCCCTGGGAGGAGGAGGGCTTAGGGCTGAAGAAGCGAGAATGCCTGAGGAGGGTATAGGTGGATCGAGGGGGTCGGTTGAAGGGCAGGGCTGACGAGGAGAAAAGAGTCGTCGTCGTCGTCGTCGTCGTCGTCGTCGTCGTCGTCGTCGTCGTCGTCGTCGTCGTCGTCGTCGTCGTCGTCGTCGTCGTCGTCGTCGTCGTCGTCGTCGTCGTCGTCGTCGTCGTCGTCGTCGTCGTCGTCAACGTCAACGTCGTCGTCGTCGTCGTCGTCGTCGTCGTCGTCGTCGTCGTCGCGTCGTCGTGGACGAGGAGGGTGGAGGACGATTGCTCAGGAAGGGGTAACTCGAAGGGTCGAGAAGAAAGTTTGATGAGGAGGTTGCTTAGGAGGACTGTCGAGGAGGATTGAAGAGGGTCGAGGCGGAGGGTTGGGCAGGAGGCTTGAAGAGGAGGGTTCAGAATAAGATGTTGAATAGAAGGGTTGGAGGTGAGCCTTGGAGAGGAGGAGTGAGAGGGCCGAAGGAGGAAGGAAGAGCAGATGGGTGAGAAGGAAGAGGAGGAGGAGGAGAGTCGACGCTGATGGTTGAGTCCGCCTGCTCCCACTATCTGCTTCAATATTCCTACCAAACCCTCGTCGTCGATCCTCATCTACCCTCCCCCTCAACCCTCCCCTTCAACCATCCATATCAATCCTCCTGCTCAATGCTCCTCCTCCTCCTCCTCCTCGTCCTCCTCCTCGTCCCGCTTCCTCCTCAGCCGTCCTCCTGGACCCCCTTACCAAACGTTAACCCCAAACCCTCATCACCAGTCCCATTCTTGACCAAGCATCACCATCCGCATTATCAAACTCCTACATACTCCCTCTCCACCCTCCGAATCAACATCCCTCGTCAACCCGTCGACCGAACCCGCCTAAAAATCACCCCGTATAAACCCGGTTCGTTTATCTCTCATCATCCTCATGATTCTGCCCCTCCTCTCTATGCATCAACCCCCCTTCGCAACCCTCACATTGAAGAACTCCCCTCAACCCTCATTCTCGACCTCCACCCCAAACTTTCACCCCCGCCCCTCATCCACCCCGCTCCTCCTCATCATGCTCCCCTCTCATGAACCCTCATCCTCAGCCTTCCACCTCCACCCTCCCCCTGAGGAGGATAAGGGAGGATGTGGATGAAGAGGGTGGAGGAGAATGGCCGAGGAGGGGTAATACGAGGATCGAGGGTTGAAAGCTGATGAAGAGAGTTGAAGAGAAGGGTTGAAGGAGAGGGTTCATCCGCCTCCGCCTCCTCTTCCTCCTCCTCCTCCTCCTCCTCTTCCTCCTCCTCCTCGTCCTCGTCATCCTCATCCTCCTCCTCCTCCTCCTCCTCCTTCTCCTCCTCCTCCTCCTCCTCGTCCCCCTCCTCCTCCAACTCCACAACAGCAACAATAATATCCAACATTCTTCCCCAAGCAGTATTCACAACCGTCTTCTCAAGCACTCATCCCCATCCCTCCTCCGTCTCCCCCCTCCTCCTCTGCAGTCTCCCTCCACCTCAACCCTCGTCCTCAGCAATCCACATCAACCCTCATCCCCCCTCCTTCTCAACCCTCATCTCTAATTCTCCTCTTGAGCATTTGAGTGGGAATGTATTTCCCAAAACAGTGCTTGCACGTTGGGGGTCTCTCGTGTCTCCCTGAGAGCTCGCACCGCGTACACTGCACCACACACCGTGAACCACATAGCCTGCGCCACACAGCTTACAGATCCACAGTGCAATCACTTACTGTTTGGGGCCCACACCGGCGAACATTATATATAGCTGTAAGTGAAGATGCCGAGATGGCTCCTCAACGTTTCAGAGAGCAACCTCTCGGTCCGCCTACAGAGAGGAGGGAGATGTGTTTACAAATGTGTGTCCTGACTTCGCTCTGGCTCCTCGCCAGGGAACGAAAGTATGTCATGCAGCAGCAACTGAGGGGAAGAGGGAGGGCGTCTCGTCATTGCTGTCGCTTCGAACACCGCATGACGAAACGATAGGGCCATGTAAGGGATAGTAGAGTATCGTCATGTGGCTATGTACGTTGAGCCCAGATCTTCACTTTCCCCCTCCCCTATCCCCCCCTTCCCGCGTTACCTACTGGACCCACTCCGAGGTCTTTGTGCCAGGGCTGGCGCGCTACAGTCGGCCCTTATCATGAGGATGCGCGATAAGGATGCAAGGGCCTTGGATGCCCATTTCGAAGCTTTTCGAGCGGGGCGCGACCACGGAAAGTAGCCAAGGATGGACCGAGGAGGCAAGGATGCAAGGGTACCCTTGGGAGGGTTGCCCATCCTTGCTGTGCGGGTTAACTGTACTAGATGTCTGGCCAAGCGAAGAATCCGAAAGGAAACGACGACATGCGGGAATCGACTCAGCGCGCCCTTGGAAGTCCGCGGAGGAGCCGCCCTGCTGCTGTGAACGTCCAGCGCTTGCGCTGCCCACCCCTCCGCTGGGCAGAGGCGGGGCCGAGCGACATCCCACTGGCACGCGAGGGCAGGCACCGCGCCCCGCTCGCTGGCCGCCTGCCTGCTCGGACCCCCACCTCGCCTCCCCCCTCGCCTCCCCCATTCGCCTCCCCCCTTTGCCTCCCCTCCCCCCATCCCCCCTCCCCCCGTCCGCGCTTTCACACGATATGAAGCCTACGCTGCTCTCTCCCCCGATTCTGTCCAGAGAGCGTCCTGTCCTCGCCGCGCATTGCTTTCCACATAGAGGATTTCATGATTTGTTGTTCCGTATGTGATTTTTCAATCCGGCCGTTTCTGGTTCTTCCAAAATGGTGCTCCCGCTGCAGCGCCACCCTCATTTCCGCGCTTCGGTCATTCAGAATCATGCTCCCGCTACAGCGCTGGCCTCGTTCCCGCGCCTTCGGGTGGCATTTGGCATTCGAAAGCGCCCACATCGAGCAGGCACGGTTGCGGAGGACATGGAGCCGGCATTCCAGACAGGCCCTGTCCTCTCATAGACGGGCCACTTACCCTTCAAGTCATCCTGTGCCATGCCACGGCATGCAATGCGATGCTGTGCTGTGCACCGCTGTGCGATGCCATGCTTTGCGTTGCTATGCTTTGTGACGCAATGTTTCACTACGCAATGCAACGCTCTTCTACGCCATGCTTATCTACGCCATGCTACGCTCTGCCGTGCTCTTCTACGCCATGCTTATCCATCCGTCGCGTAACCTCTTGGGATCATTGCCCTGCTCGACATCTGACTGTGTGAATAGATAGGAGATCTACGCCATGGTAAGGGATGGGAGGGCGGGTAGGACGTCAGATGTGACGCTAGCGCACCTAGATTGCCCCTCCCCCCTTCCCCCTCCCCCCTCGCCTCCCCCAGAGGAACGAACCGCAGCATAAGCAGAAACTTTCGGCTGCCCGCGCGGACTTCTGGAATCTGCGCCGCGCCCCCGCGCGCCAGGGAGGGTGGCCCGGCGCAGATCCAGGAAATCCGCGCGGCCCCTCGAAAGCTTATGCTCATGTCGCGCTTCCTTCTTTGGTGCCCAATCCTCCCCCTCCTGGACCTTCCTGGGAAAGGTCTGGGGCCCACTTTTTGAGGGCCTCCCGCGCAAAACTGCCAGACCGGGGCTTTTCCGTCGGTGCTTCCATAGCTCCCAGATGTTGTCAGACTTGATGAGGTCGGAGGATCGCGCCGCATCGCCGATATGCTGGCGATGCATCTGCGACGTCAGCGATGCATCGACGACATCGGCCTGAAGAAAACCGGGCTCCGCATCGCGCCGCATCGCCGATGCACAGTGGAGGCGTATGCCAAGAAACGCCCTGCTTGCCTCCAGGGTGCCTTGGGTTTCTTGGGTTTCGATGGTTTTGCTATGGAAAGCGTGACGTTCCCACACCAAAGATCAATGGACGTCCTGGGGTCTCAGGGTTGGGTTTCTTATGGTGACAAGAGCGCCAAATGCGTCCAGTGAATCACCGATTCAGGTCTTCGAGGCGCAGTTGGCGGCCCACTCTCCTCAGGCGCCGGGGGTCTGGACGACGTGCGTTCACCAAGCAACTTCCTTCCGATAGCAAGACGACAAAACAGAAGCAGTGCACATCTTGTGGACGTACCCTGAGGCGCGAGCTGGAATGTCCTCAGTTCCCTTCGAACCCTCAGCATTAAGCACTGTAGATATTCTCTGAGGAGCCCGCAGTCGGCAGTTCTTGGCGCTCCGAGGGCTGCCCACGTGACTTCTCCAGAGGCCGAGGGCGCGTTGCTCGGGGCGTGCGTGTCCAACATGGCCTCAGACAGCCCCGAGGACCGTCCGGGAGCCCCCTGGGGCGCCTCCAGAGCCGTCTTGGAGGCCCTAGAGGGCGGCCCAAGAGTCCCAAATCGTCAAGATCCATGTTTTGTACGGCTTTTTAGCATGACCGCCTGCTTGGTCTTCGGGGCGTCCAGGACGGCTCAAGAAACACCCACAATCGCTCAAAAACGGCACAAGAGCCCCCAAAAGGGGTCCAAGAGGTCTCCAAGACAGCCCCGAGAGGGGCCCAAGAGGGGAACACAAACTGACGTTTTGAGCCTTCCGCCTCAAGATGGCCCCAAAATCCCCCCAGAAGCCCCCGAGGTGCCCCCAAGAGGCCCCAAGAGGCCCAGAGGAGGCCCTCAGAGACCCAAACCAAGCCTCAAGAGGCCCCCAAGAGGCCCCCAAGATGCCCCCGAGAGGCCCCCGAGACGCCCCCAAACACCCCCCAAAACTGCCTCCAAGAGGCCCACAAGAGGTATCCCAATAGATCCCCACAGGCATCCAAGGGGCCTCTGACCGACAGCCCAGGCACGGTGGCGAGATGGGCCGAAGGTCACTAGATTGCACGACGACAAAACAGAAGCAGTGTACATCTTGCGGATCCCATGCTTTCCCTCTCAAAGAAGAGCCTCTCGAGTGAAAACTCGTTCGGCGACATCTCCGTAAGTGTCAAGATTTTGCGAAAGTGACTCCGCATGTCCGCTAGGCTCCGTAGCCCAGGAGCGCCAGGACTGATAAAATCATGCCCATCGCGTGTGCAACCCCTGCTACCAGTCATCCCAGCCAGGCCCAAAGTTCAGTAAGAGTCGAGATCTTGCGTGGCTGTGCGCAGCCCCGTGGCGGACTCTGTGGTCAGGGGTGGACGGGGCACAGGACAGGTGGAGAAATGGAGCAGATGGAGGATGGACGATGAGAGGGGAAGGATAATAACGCCAAGAGCGCTGATCGAGCACAGAGGAATGCCTCGAAGTCCCCACCGATTCACTGCGTGCGTGGGTAATCCTCAGAATATGTGTGCCAACGCGTCCCCGACCGCCGAGGCCCTTCGGTACAACGCTGGCGGTGTACTATAGGGCCGACACAGGCTGCGTGCCATCGGTGGAGCGGAACGTACAGTCGGGGCGTTGACCTAATGAACCCTAAATGAGGAACGAGGCCCCTTTTTCCCATGAGTTGAACTTCGATTTCCCATGGAAACCCCACGCGAACTGTAAAACAATCAAGGAACACCGAACCCCTCGCCAACGAGAAGGGTTCCTTCCTCAGCGCCCCGACTGTAAACACCCGTTGAGCTGACGCACGCCCTGAGGATCATCGATTCTGGGGAGGGACGCTCAGGTCGGAAACGGCGCACGGGTGGCACAGGCGTGCAGGAGGGCCCCCCACGAAGCGCAACCCCCAGGGCAACCTCTCGCGCATCAGCTGGCACTGTGAATCAAGTCGCGCTGCCACTAAAGTCGCGAAGCAGAGCTGGAAAATTTACGAAGGGAGGACGATGAGGAGGAGGAGCAGGAGGAAGAGGATCAGCAGCAGCCGCTGAAGGGGGAAGTAGGCAGCATGGTTGCCAAAATCGGCTGCCACAAGCGCCTGTTAATTACTATGTATATAACAGAGATACGCATGCAGCAACGACCTAAAAGCACAGAGTACAGGCGAGAGTAGGGGCGAAGAGGGCGAGAAGAAAGAGGCGAGGGAAGGGGAAACGACAGCGGGAAATTGCTACGCAGCTCACGTCCGGAGAAAGAAACTCGCGCGTGCGTAGACTGGTCACTCTGGGCAGCGCCCAGGGCGGTGCCCGCACCCACGTCGGGGCGGAGAAGAGCGGCCTACAAATCGCGCCGCCTTGCCGCCGAATCGGCGGTGCGGCGAGATCTTCCGACCCCATCTGCTCCGGTCCTGCCTATTGGGAGGCATGCCATCCTCCTTGAAGGGGCCCTGGGACACACACACACACACACACACACACACACACACACACACACACACAAAAAAAAAAAAAAAAAAAAAAAAAACGGATGCCCCATATTTTTCAAGATGTTCTGGGTTCTTGTCTTCCCCTTCCACTGCCCATAGTTTACCATATTTTCCTGGGAGTGGACGATTAATTGTGTCTGTGTGTTTTTGTTCCCTCCTGACTCCTGGCCTCCCCGTCCTCCTGGAAGAAAGGGCCTCGAGAAAGGAGGGAGGAAGACGAGGGGGCTGGGGCGGCGCAGGCCATCAGCCATAGCTCTTGTGCGCAGGAGCGCCGAAGGATCCCGTCCCCTCGCCATCCTGCCCCCCATCAGCTCCCTCGTGCCCCCTCCTCCTCCTCCTCCTCCTCCTCCTCCTCCTCCTCCTCCTCCTCCTCCTCCTCCTCCTCCTCCTCCTCCTCCTCCTCCTCCTCCTCCTCCTCCTCCTCCTCCTCCTGCTCCTCTCGTCCAGCCTCCTCCTCCTCCCTCCTCCTCCTCCTCCTCCTCCTCCTCCTTCTACTCCTCCTCCTCCTCCCCTCCTCCTCCTCCTCCTCCTCCGTAGCCATTTTGGCTCAAGTCCGTAGCGGTTTGCTCGAGGCTTGGCTTCCCAGGCGTGGGGGAGGCAGCGGCCCCCGAAGGCTTTCACAGCTCCGAGACTGTACTCAGCTGCACGAACTGTACTTATCTAACACTATACACTGTAAACGACGTGCTCCAGCTGGAGCGGATGCCACCGAATGCCCCGAGCAAGTTTGCGAAGCGACGCGAGTTGGCGGCTTCTGCTTGGTACTGCAAGTGGTGTACGAATCCGAGGAATGGTGAGCGTTGGTGGAACCATGCAGACAAAGCGAGCTGCAGCATTTGTGGTGGCTCAAAAGGATCGGCGTATGGGGGGAATCGCGACCTCGGCGGGCCTCCCTCGGTCTCGGTCATGGCGGAGCGCCGTGCCAATGCAGACCGCGCTGAGATCGACTAGTTTAAGTCCAAGCTCGCGGCGCGTGACAAGGAGCTGGAGCGGGTCAAATCGGGTGCTCAAAAGGCGCCTGAAGCCGATGGGGGGTGGGGGCAAGCCATCGCCTGAGGCAGAGGAGATTCAGACGCGCATCGACCTTCTTCGGACCACGTTGCGCTCCATGTCTGGGTCCGACCCGCTGCTGGCGCCGATGCGGGTCCAGATCCAGTCCCAGATCGACGACCTGCAGAGCAAGAGGATGGCGGCCAAGCCGCTGTCAGCGCAGCTCCACATGGCCACCAACCGTTGCCAGGCCTTGGGGAAGCGCAGGGACAAACAGCAAGCACACATCGACGGGCTCAAGCAGGCGCAGGCAAAGCTCGTCAAGGAGGTGCTGGCTGCGCAGGAGGCGATGGCGTCCATCACCTCTGAGCTGCTGGAGGCCGAGGAGCAGAGGCGCTGCTTGGCTTCGAAGGCACCCTTGCCCCAGCCAGGCGAGCCGCCTTCGCTGCGCAAGGCGGTGGCGGGCCTCGACCTCACGATGGACCAGGTCGGGAAGATGCTCGCGGAGCTGGGCGGCGAAGAGTCCCTGGCCAAGGAGGTCGCGGATGTGTTCAGCAAGCTTAAGGAGCTCGACAGGAAGGCCGCCGACGCTGGCGCCCAGCGCCCCGCTGCTGCCGAGCCGCCTGCTGACGGTGGCGGAGGAGCAGCAGCAGGAGCCAGCGCCAAGCCCGAGAGCGGAGAGTTCGTCGCTGTGCCCATGGATACTTATGACATCGATGAATTGCACGCTTTCTGGCGCGAGCTGCTGTCGGCGATGACGGGCCCGCTGAGGAAGCGGACATGCGGGCTGCCATCAAGCGCACGGGCGACGCCTGCGGCTCGCACGCCAAGAAGGCGCGCACATCGGCGTAATTGCGGCGTCGGCATGTTCTGGATCTGCCTGATGTGCGCCTGGGCCCCCTCGCGCGCCATGCCGCGCGACGGGGGGCCGCTGTCTGCCGCCGATGTCAGTCGGCTCCAGCACGCGGCCGCCGCCGCCACTGGAGCGAGGGCGGACCCTGGGCGGGGGGGCGCGGCCCTCGCTGCGCTGACTGCGGCCGGCGCGGCTGCCGGGCCCCGCACTCACCCTCGCGCCGCGGGAGACCCGAGCAGTCAGGGGCCCACCGCGCGCCAGGGCAGAGCGGCGCAGCCAGCACCAGCACAACGTCGGTCGTGGACGCCGCGCTGCTGGAGATGTACGTCAGCAGCCTTCGGCATGCAGCCAGGAATCCTCTAATGTGACCCGCGTGTGCGGGCCGCCGATACAGTTGCCCGACTACGCGTCTCCGTGGACATGTGTTTTTTGGCGGCTGGTGGAGTTGAGCCTGCAGCTGAGTCTCAGCACGGGCGCGCGGGCAAGCATCCCCCTCCCAAGCAGGTGGTCGCACGCGGTGATCGAAATCATAATGTGTCAGGACCTGGTGATGATGCAGTTAAAGGCTATGTCGTCATTACGAATACAACGTCATACGGGCCGATGCTCAAGATGTTGGCGCGTCCCTCCTACTCGCTTGACGGAGTGGTCATGGTACAGGAGCACCACGTGGGGGATGAGAAGCTGGCCGATGTCCAGAAAAAGGCGGTGGACTTGGGCCTATCTGGAGTTTGGGCGCCAGCGGTGTGTTCGGGCCGCGGAGGCACCACAGGTGGAGTCGCGATCCTCGCCTCTGTTTTATATAAAAAAAGTGGATGCGAAGTTCGCTGGTGAAAATGTTGCTATTCTTTCGACTGTATTAGCACATCTGTCGAAGTTGAATGCGATAGGGCAGCCGTGGGTTGTCGGTGGTGACTTCAACATGGACCCAGAGGATGTCGAAGATTGGTTCCATACCGTGCGCGGAGTGTTGCGAATGGCATGTGAGCCAACGCGTCGGCCAGCCACGCCTGGGACAACACGTGACTACTTCTTTGTCAGTGAATCATTGGCAGCGTATGCTGACACGCCGACGGTCGACGAGAATGTGGACACTTTCCCCCACCTCCCAGTCTGGAGGCCTCTTAAAGCGAAGCCGATGGCGATGTACAAGAGGGCGCCAGTTGAGCCGTCAAAGTTTCCAACTGCATTTCAGCCAGGGTGTGCTCGTTCCCCCCTGTTGCAGAGTGGCAGCAGGTTCGTGATACGATGGCGGCAGCCAGTACGGAGGCAGATTTAGCGGAATGTTGGGACGATGTTCTGCGCGGCTTGGAGTCCGAGGTGCTTGATCGCGCCGACATCGTGGACGCGCGTGAACGTGTTCTGTTTCACGGAAGGGCGGGGGGGTACAGGTTCGAGTGGAAAGTAGTCCTGCCTTAGCAAAATGCCGTGCCCGATGAAGTTTAAGCGCGGCGTGTATTCGGCAGGTGGATCAGGCACTTGCGCGGGGTCAGATGCATATTGCAGACTTTGCTCTTGCTTGCGAATCGGGATGCCGAATATCTTGGCAAAGTGATCTACGATTTAAATGGTTTCTTCCGTCGCATCCGCCGTGGAGGCTGGGTAATTGACCACCTGTCGGAGGAAGCGCAGGATTTCATCTCGGACATCGTGGCGAAGTTCTCGGACGGCGACTTCTGCGAGCGAGTGCAGGGCTTTTTGGACATTGTGGATGGCAATGTGACCGCCCATGCTGAGGGTGCTGCCGCGTCGTGGGCCAGGTGGGCTAACGACGCGTTTGCAGGAGGCGCAGCTTGTGCCCATCGTTTCAGTCGATTGCGTGAGCGGCAGGAGGTTGCCGCCACCCGTTCGAGCAGGCCGATGATTGCATAGACCTGTGGCAGTA